CGCTGTCTCCAGGCGTAGTTTCATTTAGTAGCCAAGACCCCTCCCCCAGCCTGGGCTGCGGGCCGAGGCCGCGAGACTGCGGTTCCGGGAAGGGCGGGAAGGCTCTCACCCCGCGTGTGCAGAGCGGGGGTGGCGGCTGGCAGTGGGGACGACCCGGAGTCGGGGGCCCTAGACTCCTCCTCTGAGCACTGCGGGTATCCCTCGCCCGCAGTCCAGCTCCGTTCCGCCTTCACACCCTGCGTTTCCCAGAATTAAGGCTGGCTGGGAGTCCAGGAGTCTGCAGCCGCCTGCTGGGGTTACCTCTGAACACCTGTTGAAATGCAGGCCAGTGTGGAGAAAAGGACCTGCAATCTGGGTTTTAATGAACCGTTTTAAGACCTTGTTTGGGGATTCAGGAGATAAACCTAAACGGTTTAAGTGTCCAGGTTGTGCCTCTAGCTCTGTGTAAAGAACTCGCGTGGAACTTTTCTCGTAAAGAGACCTGGAAATTTCGCCGAACACCAGCTGACATAGACAAACCCTGTTGTTTCTGGGCCTTTGTAGGTTTCCAAGCAGGTTGATTTGGAGACATGTCAGCTTCGTTGAAAGAAAGCCTTCAGCTTCAGCTTCTGGAGATGGAAATGGTGTTTTCTATGTTTCCTAACCAAGGAGAAGTAAAACTCGAAGATGTAAATGCCCTGACTAACATCAAGAGATACCTGGAAGGCACTAGGGAGGCGCTCCCACCCAACATCGAATTTGTGATTTCGCTCCAGATTGAGGAGCCCAAGGTGGGTGCTTGCATTTGTTTTCAGTGTTACTAGGTGCCCACTTTTTAAATTAAACCCTGACCATAGAAGCTTCCGGTCTAGGAAACAGAATTCTAGATGCATATTCCTTTGTTTGGACGCGCCATAAGTTCTGTCCCGTAATATCCTGAATTTTATATAAATATGCACAACTTTTTAACAAATATGCCTAGTGTTTTCAGTGAAACTGTCTTGCAGTATTTTTTTATTCTGTTCACCTTTCCAGTTTCTTATAACCCAGCTGTTGTAGTGAGACTGCCTTTGACATATATCATGATTTTCTCAAGTCTACATACTACCTATAACAAACAGGCTTTTAAGAAGTGAATGAAGCCTGGAGTGGTGGCACACACCATTGATCCCAGCACTTGGGAGGCTGAGGCAGGTAGATCTCTGTGAGTTCCAGGCCAGCTGGGGTTACAGGGAGACTCTGTCTCAAAAAGACCAAAAAAAAAAAAAAAAAAAAAAAAAAAAAAAGAAAGAAAGAAAGAAAAGTGAGTGGATTTCCAGCAGTTTTTCTTTAGTTGGTTTATTTTGATAACACTGATGTGGATAGTACAGATCTAAAATGTTAATGTTAAAAGTGAGTTTACCTCCATCTTTTGGTCCATTTATCCCTCGAAACATTAACATAGCATAGCATAGGTAGCATGTGAAGTGGGCTTTGGGAGCTACTGATTTAGCTCTCGCCTACTCTTCCTTCAGTTGTCATTCCCCGAGAGCAGGCTTGCTGCTTCCCTGGACTGGATTCTGTCCCAGTACTGACACACTTCAGCGGAACCCCAAACTTTTCCATGGTAATACTTCTTGAAATTGAATTCTTGCTATGTGTGGTTGTTTAATGTATGTCTCCTTTACTAGGCCCTTGACTTCATAAAGGGCAGAAATTGTTTTTGACTTAACTTTTCCCAGTACTGGACACCTGACACATGTGGATGGCCAGTGACTGTTCGAAAAAATGAAAGCACACCCTGGTCAGTAGCTGGCACTTAATGGTAGCAATAGCTTCGCCTATCATAATCATACAGTTGCCATAATAAACCAGCTTGTGTGATTTTGTGATATTTAAATCTATGTGATTTTCATTTGAAGGTGACAATTGATTTACAAGTAACCATGCCTCACAGCTACCCCTACGTAGCATTACAGCTGTTTGCACGGTCCTCTGAGCTTGACAGACAACAGCAGCTGCTCCTCAACCAAGGTCTTACTTCTTATATAGGGACTTTTGATCCAGGTGAGCTCTGCGTCTGTGCAGCAATCCAGTGGCTGCAGGACAATAGTGCATCCTACTTCCTGAACAGAAAGCTGGTGTGTGAGCCATCCACGCAAGCAAAGCCAGTCAAGAATACATTCCTCCGAATGTGGATCTACAGCCACCATATATATCAACAGGACCTAAGGAAAAAGATTTTGGAAGTAGGGAAAAGGTTAGATGTAACTGGATTTTGCATGACTGGAAAGCCTGGTATCATCTGTGTGGAGGGCTTCAAGGACCACTGTGAGGAGTTCTGGCATACAATCCGGTACCCCAGTTGGAAGCATATTTCCTGTAAGCACGCTGAGAGCGTGGAGACAGAAGGAGATGGCAAGGACCTGCGCCTTTTCCATTCTTTTGAAGAATTGCTCCTGGAGGCCCATGGTGACTACGGGTTAAGGAATGATTATCACATGAATCTGGGCCAGTTCCTAGAGTTTCTCAAAAAACACAAACGTGAACATGTTTTTCAGATACTATTTGGCATTGAAAGCAAAAGTTCAGAGTCCTAGGAATCTGTTAAGATGCTTGTGCCTGTAATTGCACGAAGTCTGTATTTATGTTAATAAGATCAAAATAAAAAGGCCAGTGGCTGTATAGAAGAATCCTTGGTGAGAGACCTAACTCCACAATTTTTCAACTGGTAATGAAACAAATAGGCCTTTGAACTTCCTGTCAGTGCAACTGTTGCTGTGTAAAGTCATGCTGAATACCATTTCATTGTAAATTGATTAAATCTATTTATTTAACCAGAGAAACTCTTTGCTCAAGAAGTCCAGATTCCCATAGTTAATGTCAAACATCAGGCTGTAGTTACAGATTCATAAAAACACAGGTGGCACACCAACTCATCACTGGAGATGAGTTCTAAATCATAGATTTAGTGAGAATAAAGAGCACATGTTTACTAATTTCTTTAAATTGAAAGCCCCATTTGGAGTAAAACTAAACTCTAACAGCAATGGCTGAGAAATCACCGTAATGAAGTCTCAAGAGGAATCAGGAAGATAACACTGTTAGCTATTCTTCCATGGACTTATCAGTTTGTTAAAGACACTACTGATAATGGTAACGGTATTCTTTGTTTAGTCTTACCCACAAAGAAATACAGTTTTGTTCTACCCCACAGTTCTTTACCTACAAAATATTCCCTATTTTTTTTCCAACCTTTGCCATGTGCCAGTATGTTCTTACACAGAGCAAAAGAGGGCTGAGGACCACTGTGGAGGGCTATACTGTCACCTTGGTGGGGGGATCAAACTATTTTAGTGATAAGTCCCTGTCATCCCCTTTGAAAGTCTAAAGTTCAAACAGCCTTTTCAAAATGAGCATTTAATGATTGTAAAAACACTTAAGTAACTTTTGCCAGTCATTTAATTGCTTTCTGCCTAGCCCAAGAATTGTAGGGTATCTCCCATGTGCTACGGCATGCCATGAGCAGCTTCCCCTCTTCCTGGTCCCTACTACAGACCTTTCCTGCAGAGAATTCCTTTCCTCTGGGTCTCAGGCTGATGACTTGGTCTCTTTAGGATGCTAAACTATGTGGTGGGATTTATTGATACACAGAGTCATTAGATGCCATTGTATGTGCTGAGAAACTTGCAGAGCTTTCTGATGAAGCAATACGCACCTACATCCCTCTAGGATATAGTCATATCCTTGGATTAGAAGGAGTATACCATGGACCAGCAGATGGCAGCCCAATCCAATTCCCCTGTGCCCATGAGGCTGTGGAACTGGGTTCATTATGTAGCTCGGCATGAGTCCTCTCAGTACAAGTCAGTCTTCAGTGAAGGCTCTGGTTGTTGGCCTGTCTAGCAAGACCTTCATTTCCCCCATTCCCTTTGCATGCCAGTAGGACTCAAGTTGCAGCCTCATACCTTACCTACACATACAAGAGGAAGAAATGTGAACTACGTTACCAGACATTCCTCTGTCCATAGACTGAAAACAATATAGGAATCATTTCACATCTCCTTAAACTATTAAAGCAGTCACAATTGTTAGGTCGTATATAACTCCATTAAGTTTTTTTTCCTTTTAAATAAGACCACATGCTATACACTTGCCTCATAGAGATTTTTTTTCCTATAATAGCAAAAAATAGGACTAGGTATAGTGATGCACACCTTTAATCTCAGCACTTGGGAGGCAGAGGCAGGCAGATCTTTGAGTTTGAGGCCATCCTGGTTTACATGAGTTCTAGCACAGCCAGGGCTACAGGCAGAGCCTGTCTCCAAAAAAACCTAAATAAAGAAATAAACAGTGCCCACTCTTCCATGTGCACTTCTTATGACAATATAGTATCAGTGCTGTTTCATCACAGTTGTTCCAGCCTAGTCTGCATGAGTTCCAGGCTAGCCAGGGACTTTGACCGTCTGGAGTTCTGATAATTTTTCAGAATCTGCATTTATATGCCCAGTATTAAAATTGAGTAGGACTTTTAGGGGTGTTACCGATAAACCTTTGCTAGGGGAAAGGTTTAGGTTTTTATGTTATAATGTATATATAGGATCTCATTCAAAACAGCATTGTGAGCAGTAGACTGCTGCTTTTGTTTGCCCAGCTTAACAGGAACACAACCTTTCTCCCTATGTGCATGCATTTGGCCTTTAGGAACCAACTCCTTCTCTGTATGGTTCAGAGGAGGTGACTGGAATCAGCTGCCTCTGGGCAGCTTGTTGCCAAGACCATTTCTGGCCATCTAGGTGCCCAGCTTCTCAGCACCCCTGAGTCCCTGAGCATCTCTTCCCTTTTCTTTAGGAAGCTAGAATCAGTTGCTACTGCTTACAGCTTAGGAATCCTGATACTCTATAAATTAAAATCTTTCAATGGTTATTTGGGAAGAATGCCTCATAAAAATTGAGGTCTCTCTGAAGTGAGTTAAATCAAGCATTTTCTCAAGTGTATTTTTGCATCTCATACCTTATTGGTGTGCTATGTCTTCAGACTTGAGAGCTGCAGGTAGGCCATCTGAGCTGAAGGACCATAACCAAGGACCTTGACAGTATTGCTGTCCTAAGTCAAGCATGTTACCTGTGAAATCAAGTATTCATGGAACTACTTAATATGCTGTCTTTCCCTCTTAGAAGTCAAAAGGCTTTAAGGGTGACCATGCAAGGTCTTCACAGAACACTTTTGACCAGGACAATTCTTTCATTTGCTTTTCCTGCAAGTAACCTACTATTGAGACTAAAAAATACCTCTACCTGGAGGAGGCCATACTTTTGCCCAAAACCCAGGTTTTATACAGAATCCTGATTTGTCACAGAAACTCTGAACCCATTATCTCGTCTTCATAAAGTACACATGGTAGAACTTACTTCACTGGAGTGTACATGGCTTGGAAAAACCTCACTTTTTCTAAGTCCGATCAAAGGTAGAGGCACTTGGATTTATCCATAAATGGGCTTAAGCAATGTCCACAAATTTTTCTCAAGTCCATTATATAGCCAAGCACGGTGGCGCAGGCCTATAATCCCAGCACCTGGAAGACAGACACAAAACAATTCAAATGTGAGGCCAGCCTTGGCTACACAAGCGTTTCAAGGCAGTCTGGGATACATAGCCAGATTCTGTCTTACGAAAAAAGTCCACTAAACACTGAGGGGGCCTCCTTAGTAAAAGGAACAAAGGGCACAGTTTATCCTAGATATCCAGTATGCATCAGATTATGGACTTCTACAAATCTGCCTGAGGTGACAGGCTTTTCTGTGTTTTCCTAGGATCTATTTCCCCACTCTGGCAGGCTGTATATTACCAGACATCAGGAGAATCTAATGATTTAGGTATTCTAGGTCCTGTCAGCAGCTCATTGTCAATGCGTGGGAGCGCTGTTGCCCTGTGCAATGGTGAAGTGGTCAAGGCCTGGTGTCAGAATGATGTTCAAAGAGTCAGAGTTAATATGACTCTGGAAAGATGGTGTGCTTTGTTTCCTGAAGCAAGGCAAACTGCTTCAGGTCCTCTCCACTTACTGACACAAGCAGGGAGGGAGGCATTGGCTAAGTCAATAGCTACCAACTGATTTGCTACAAGAGAGCTGATCTGACAGTGGCTTGGTTAGAATCACCACCTCAAGGTTCATGAACATGCTCTGTCCTTCTGAGAGATCCATCTGCCTCTTGCATATACCAGTGATCATGCTGAATGCAGACAGGCTAAGAATCACATCCCTGATTCTTTTAAGGGCTGGGCTCTAGTTCAGATCTCTGGGTGTGCTGGTTAGTTTTTATTGCCAATTTCACACAACCTAGAGTCACATGGGAAGAAGGAGCCTCAGGGGATTTCCAACATCGGACTGACCTGGGGCTACATATGTGAGAGACGACTGATGACTGAAGTGGAAGGGCCTGGTCCACTGTAGGCAGGACCGTGCCTAGGCTGGTAGGCTTGGGCTGTAATAAGAAAACTAGCTGAACATGAGCCAGAGAGCAAGCCAGTAAGCAGCGTTTGCTACAGTTTCTGCTTCAGTTCCTGCATGAGTTCCTGTCCTGCCCTGACTTCCTCAGTGATGGACTTGACCTGGAAGTATAAGCTAAATAAACCCTTTCCTCCCCAAAGGTGGTTTTGGTTATGGTGTTCATCAGAGCAATAGGAAATGAGCTAGAATGCTTGGTACCTCTTATTTATGGATCAGGAATCTAGTGTGAGGCTATTCCATAGAACATAAAGACTTCAACTGTTTCATGATAAGCACAATTCTTTCACTTTAAAAAATAATTTTAAAAGTAATTTCACTGGAAAAATAACCACAGGGTAGGTACATTAATATGTATACACTTTGTCCAACAGCCCACAGTGGTGTCAGAGCCCCCACAACTTAAATTCAGAGCTGTTCCTAGACCTAGTCATTGTCTTTCTGTGGTGCATTATCCTAGTGAATTGAAAGCCTGAGAAAAAGAATTTGTGATAGTGCTACTGGGGTCATCTTAGGGGTTGCAATTCTTCAGATAGCAAGTGCCCTGTGGTTCCACATCCCCCCAGTCCATACCTCCTCCACCCAAAATGTTCACTTGTCAAAGACTTGGTTGCAGACTGGTGGCACTGTTGAGTGGTAACTGGATCATGAGGGTGCTAAATGTCCCCAGGGGACTGATCCATTGAGGAGTTCATATTTGTAGTGGTTTAAATTAGAAATGTCTTCCACAGGCTCATGTATCTGAACATTTGATCCCCTGTTGGTGGCAATATTTGGGAAAGTTATGGAAACTTTAGGAGGCTGATCCTTGTAGGAGGAAGTACGATCATGGGGGCGGGGGGATGGGGGGGTGACTTTGGGTGTTTAAAGCCTTCCCTCTCCCTCTTTTCTCTCTTCTCTCTTTCCTCCTTTCTCTCCATCCTCTCCCTCTCTCCCAGAAAGCTTTCTGCTCTTGCTGCAAACCTTTGCCCCCATTATGGACTCCAGTCCTCTGGACCATAAGCCAAAATAAACTCTTCCTTCAATTGCTTTTGGCCATGGTGTTTTATTACAGCAACAGAAAAATAACTAATACAATATTGATTGGGCTATTAAGGAGCAAGTGGCTACCTGGGAATGGGCCTTTTTGATGTGTTTCTTGGATAAGGTTTCACTGTGTGGCCCAGGCTAGCTTTAACACACATGCTGAGATTACTGGAACATGCCTCTTGAGGCTGTATCTTGTCCTCAAATGGTTCCTCTGTGTGCTTCCTGGTGCCCATGAAATGAGCAGCCTCCTGTCACCCGCCTCTACAGTCACAGTGTTTGTTTCACCGCAGATTCATAGTAATAGAACCAGTTGGCTGACCATGGACTGAATCCTCTAAAACTGTGAGCCAACATACTTCCTCCTTTAAATTAATTTGCTTAGATCTTTTGTCACTGTGGTTAAAACTGATCAACACAGGGAACTTTCATGCCTGTGTATGGCATCTTGTTTGACACTCTGTGCTAGCCCCAGTCAGGCATCGCTACTGTAGTTATCCAAATCAAGCAGAGCCTATGTGGCATTCCCACATATTTGGTCCTCTGCTGGGCTGGTGTTCAGCTGATAAAAACTCCTATGGCATCCATTTTTCTCAGTGAGTAGCTATGCTGCCTGGTTGTTTATTTTTCAAACATCGATTCAGGTGAAGGGGCCCTGCCTACCTACCTATCGCCAAACCTCACATGGACCAAACTATTCTCACTGTACTGGGCCAGTTTGTACTGATAACTGACATTAAGCCACTGTCTTTTGGGGTTTTTGGTGCTGACTGGGGACGGAACCCATGGCACTGTACATGCTAAACAAGCACACTGAGTTTTATCCCCAGCCTCCATTTGGTTAATTTCTAATGACCAGCCTTTGAGGTTATTGATTCTTCTGTAAGCTGCTGTTAAAACTTCCAAACTAAATTCTTAGTTGCAAATATTTTATTTTTCAGCTCTAGAATGTATTTGTAATCCTTTATACTCCATTGTTATGATAAAATTCATTTTTTTCTTTCTCTTGAATTGCAATTGCATTATTATAATAGTTTTTTTCAAAACTCTTTGTGAAAATGCAAACCAGGCCTATCAATCTACTTCTAGTGATTTTTTTTTTTCCTCCTGATAAGGGGGTCACATTTTTATGCTTTTCTTATATAACATTTTCTTTTTAATTGTTTTTTTAAAGAACTCTAGAGGCTGCATGTGCTGGTTAGTTTTTTTCGTTTCGGCACAAAATAGACACTAGGGAAGAGGAAACGTCAACTGAGGAATTTCCTCCATCAGACGTGCCAGTGGCCATGTCTGTGGAGAATTCTCTTCATTGTTGATTGATGCAGGAGGGCCCGCCCACCGATGGTGGGTGGGCCTGACCTGTATAAGAAAAGGAGCTGAGCAAGCTAAAGGGAGCAAGCCAGTAAGCTGCATTCCTCTATGGTCTTCACCTGGACTCCTGCCTCTTAGGAGTTACTGCTCTGCTTCCCTCAATGACAAACTATGATCTGTAAGCCAAAGAAACCCTTTCCTCAACAAGTTGCTTTTGGTCAGTGTTTTATCACAGCAACAGAAAGAAAACTAGTACATTGGAGTGCTCCCCCTCACCCCAAACAAGAACACCATGACATTTCTCATAGAGTTAGAGGGAGAGATTGAGAAAATTAATTAATTTAAGCTGAATCAGGGCTAGGCTGCACCAATTTTTTATTTCATTAACTTGAAAGGTGAAAAAAATGTGTATATCAAATCTTATTAAACTTGTTTACCTGAAATATATGTTTACACAGAGGACAAACAGATACAGGATTTTCAAGTCACATATGGGAAAGTCATTACCCATTAAAAAAATATTCATTCTTCCACACACACACAACTGGTTCCTGAGCTTCTTATAAAAGCAAAGTTTATCTTGTGTGTATTTCTAGAGTGGCCTTCTGTTTTTCCCTATATATTAGAATATATTTATTCACTTCCTTAGAAACTTCAAACAAAAATTGGATTTTTGGCAGAGTTAATGCTACATGTTCATCGAATTAGTTTCTTCCTACAGTCTGGGCGCCAAAGGAAAAGTAGCATGCTTCTCTTGCACTGGGGCTATATGGCTGAGCAACAGCCATCAGGATATAGAAAGAAACACTGCAGTACTCCTCCATGCTTTTTGGACCTTTGGGTGACCTTGGGGTGTCCACAAGATAAAAATGTGGCATTATGAAATGAATGTCCTTGTGCTAAGTACATTAATGACATAAGCTAGCAGTGTGTTTTTATACTGTGAGCCTTAGTTATTCTGTGGTTATAGCAGCAGTTAGCATAAACCTGACCTATATAGGATTGTTTTGAATTTGAATTTATGGATTATTTCTGGGGTAAAATAATTTTGTATTAAGGCATTCCAATGAAGAGTGAGATCTGAAGCAGAGTGTCGTGGTACACACTGGCGATCCCAGCACTTGGGAGGCTAAGGATCATGAATTTGAAGCCAGATTGGGACATAACAGAGATTGTCTCAAGAAAAAAAGGAAAGAAACAAGTAGCTGGGTGTGGTGGTGCACTGCTGTAACCCCAGCACTTGGGAGGCCAAGGCAGTAGAATTGTGAGTTAGAGGCCAGTCTGAACTGAACTGAAACATACATGTGAAAGTATGTACTGATTTTTAAAGATTTGGTATCAACCAAATAAAACTGCAATAATTTTATATTAATTATATTTTGAAATACTATCTTAGGTATATTGGTTTAATAAAATATATCATTAACATGAATTCTACTTTTTCATGAAGCTACTAGAAAGTTTAAAACTACACTTGAGACAGTATTGTGCTAGCCTAGTATAGCCTAGTGAGAGGAAAATATGAGGAGAGGCAAGCATGGACGTAGATCCTGCCTCCTTTATTTAACAAGCTCTGTGGACTTGACAAGTGACTTGAAATATCAGCCTCATTAAGGATATCATGAATGAGATAATGCAGTAGAGTACTTGGTGCTTAGGGAATAACCGTGTAATGTTTGTGTTACCATCGTTCTCAAAGAACAGAAAGAGGTCACTTGTCACAGTATCTAGCATATGTGATCACACACATATTAAATGAAGTGCCTACTGGAATAAGCAGTTGTTAGTATATTTTTAAAATTTAAATTCATGATACCTTGGGGCTAGAGATATGGCTCAATGTTAATAGCCCTCCCTGCTCTTCCAAAGGACCCAAGTTTGGTTCCCTACATCCACATCAGGTGGCTTACAACTGCCCATGACTCCAGCTCCATGGGATCCAATGCCCTTTTCTGGCCTCCATGGGCACGGCACTCATGTACACAAACACACATGCACATACATACACATAATTTTTTTAAATGTTCTTTAAAGATTCATAATACCTTGTTCTGTGATCTCCCAAGACCCAGCATTATCATTTTTGAATGTAGCAATGTCTTGAGAAAAATAATTATTTAATAATTTTATTCATTTATTTCTATGCTTTAATAAATCTTTTTCATAGGTGAATACATTTAATTAGAACTATTTGACAACATGGAAACAGACAAGAAATAGGAATTCTGAATCTTTTCCAAATAACTACACTGAGGAAACCCTTAACCAAAAATTACCATTAGAAAGTCTTCAATTCTTTTAGCAGTTGAAGACTGTGTAATCTTCAACCTGCAGTAAGATCAGTTTAGAGCATAGTTAACTTAAACACCTTACATTCTTGAAAGCATTTCTTCAAAAACAGAAGAGTCTCCAAATACAAAGCAAATATTCTCACACCTGAGCTTAAGAATTTACAATTGTTTCTATTAATTCCATCATTAATTTATAACATAAATTACTACAACCTGGGAAAGTGGTTAGTCTTTCTCATAAGATGGTCTTGGTAATTAAAATATTTTAGTATCTGATGGAAAGACAGTTTCTGATACTGGAGATGTAGATTTTGCAGATGGAGCTTTCTTCACACTCAGAAGCAAGTAAGCTTATTCTCCTGCAATGAGCTCTCAGACTCCTGAGCTAATCAGCACTGAGGCAAGTAGCTCTCAGATGAAAGCTTGTCTGGGGACCCTGGTCTTGCTCCTGACACCTGGCACCCTTAGCTCTGAGACTGGCTCCTCAGGCAGCCCCTTCTCAAGGATCTTGACTCTTCTTTTAGCCCTGTTTACAGGCCCAGGCCACACTATCAGAAGGAGCCAACCTCTCAGCAGGGCCACAGTATAGGAGCTGAGGCCAGGGCATTTGGTCAAAGGGAGGGAAAGAACTTTTAGGGAAGAATTAGGAACTCAAGACCAAGGTAGCAAGAGCTTTACTCTATGGGAAATAACAATGACAAAAGAATATTAAAATCTAAGGCTGTACAAGGTATTGTAAACAGCAGTGATGAGCTTTTTTAGAAATGTTAAGAATTCAGTTGCACAGGAAGAACAAATCCTAATCCAGGTCTAGAATAAAAATCCTGAGCTGCTTCTCTAAGCAACAAGAAGTGCTTCTGTTTAGCAAAAGTTCACATATGCCTAAGTTCATGTCTGTCTCTACTTTTTAAAAGATTTTAATAAATGATCAGAAAAATTGTGATCAACTTATCTACATTAATTCATTCCTAATGTTGGTCTTCCCATTAGTTCCCTATGTACAAATAATGAGTTTCTCAGTAGCAGGTACAATAGCTTTTAAAGAGAATAATTAAGATAGAAACCATCAATAGCCAGACAGTAAATGAAGCAAAATTATATAGTGTTAGATTTATCCTAATTTATATTAATATATTTCCATGAAGTTTTTAATTGTTAAGCTAAAATTACATTATTCTAAGCACATGAATCATCATAAAAGATTCCAATCTTTAAAAATTATAAAACACTTCAAGATCATATTAATAAAGTTAAAAATTCCAGCTGTTATGTTACTGGTCCACTTTGGTCTGTATTTTCTGGACTTCTTCAGGCCAAGAATAACAATCAGGTAGAATCTGGTCATAACTAGTGCTATACATCTGGGAGCAGACAAATGCCTCTTTGTTTTGTGGTTCAGGATAAAAACTGGCTGTATTTTCTCTGTATGCATCAGTCACAATCTAGACATAAGAAAAGAATATTCATTATTTTAATCATGAAAAGGTGGTGTTGATGACAAGTCAAGTTCTTAGCCATTTCAAAATTAATTTATATCTTCGTTTACAAGAAAATTGTACTGACTACAGTAAAAGCACATATAAACAAACAAGATAAAAATGAAAATGCAAAAGCCAGCTGTAGCAGTATAGGCCTTTAATCTCAGCACCTCAGAAGCAGAGGCAGAGGCAGGTAGATCTCTGTGAGATTGAAGTCAGCCTGGTCTACATAGCGAGTTCTAGGCCATCTGGGGCTTCAGAGAGACCCTGTCTCAAAAAGACAAAAAAAGGAGGAGGAGGGGGGAGTGGAAAATATAATAATAAATTATGCAGAGGAAGAGGGGACATGATACCAATAACCTAGGAAAGTCTGAACAGTAGTAATTTACTAGTGATCGTATTCATGTTTCTCAGAGAAGATAGTATTAACAGTCTTGACGTGGCCTGACTGCTAATTAACTTGAACTAAATACCTAAATGTGAATGCTAAGCTTTCTTCTGACTTCTGGACACAATAATAAGCAACCTTCTATCCTCAGTTTCCTTTCCTTTCCATACTTGCTTTCTTGGCAGCCCCCAACCATGCCTCTGGCTCCACGGTCACCACAGTACCAGATAGATGCTCTTTATGTTCTGGTCATTTCCATGTACTTTTCAGAATCATATATCTAAATAAGCCACAGGTACCTCAACTTGCAGTCTGCTTAGATATTTCTTCTTGAAACTGGCTCTTCATTCTGATTTCCAGTTTCTGTCTGGAAATCATTTCCCCATCACCCTACACAGAGTATCTCCATCTTTAATCCCTTTCCTGCCTGCTTTCTCACTTTCTCTTCTAATCATGTACTAATTTCCTTTTCATTTAAATTATCAGATTGAATTTAAGGTGATATGTTCAGCACATAAATAATTCAAACTAATTACAAACTAGCAACTACATGTCAGTGTACAATATGAGCATGTTCTTTCATAAGATAGCCATGCAGATTGCTATCTGAAGTTTTTTGAAGGAGAACTGATTTTGAAGACTCTACCTTCAACTAACAAGATAAATAATGACCTATGAGTATTAAAAAGTACTGTTTAAAGTCACAACTGGCCAGAATGTAGAGAAAAAGAGATAGCAGAGTATGTGTCTCTGGAAAGGACTCCTATATTAAACCTTACCCACCCAGGGCTCAAGGATCATTGTGGAAGATTGTAAGAGCCAGAGGTGGTAGAGGATCATAAGGAAAAAGTTTTCCAGGTTTCTGGGAACTTGCTCATGTGAACTTACTGCAATGGTGACAACATGAACAAGACCCATGTGGCAGCTGATCACTGCTGGGTGAGGGACAATGATCTTTAAGGGAGTGACTCTAGATAGGATGACCAGGCTTTAGTGGATGAACTCACACCAAGGGACATCTGGGGACACAAACTTGAGTTGATAGCTCCTAACATATATAACTGAATGCATGAAATTCAGGGGTGGGGGGGCTATGAGGGGTTACAGGTAGGGGAGGGGGGTCTAAATATGATTAAGAAGTATTATACAAAATTTCAGCAAAATATATATTGAGGGGAAAAAACTAAAAAGTAAACTTGCAAATAGTTTAAAATTACTGACATTCAAATCAGGCAGGTTTTGACTGCTGAAGCTGTGCAGGTGCTGCCCCTGGTGGCTGTAGGCTCCAAATGCTAATAGCATCCTACACTGCGCAAATATAAAGTGCCAAGAGACCGTTAAGGGCTGAATTTTGTTTCCTCCAAACTTACATGTTGGTGTCCTAACTACTAGTATTTAAGAAGTTAAAATACATATTTTCAGTATGGCCCAACTCTATTTCACTGGTCTTCTTTAAAGAAAAGAAATTTGGACAGCTGAGGCGCCATGCATGACAGTATACAGGGAAAAGACATGACAGCACAGCAAGAAGGCAGCCAGAAGACAGATCTGAGAAGAAGCCAAACTTCCTGACATCTTGGCCCTGGGCTCCAGTCTCCAGAAATGCCATTGAAGCCATTCAGTGGCACTTGGTTATGGCAGCTATAGCAAACAAATACATCTGCACTGTCAAAAGCCAGTCACACTCACTGCACCACGGAATATTTCTGTGCTTCGGTTCTTGGCCAAGTCCTCCTATCTGCTCATCTGTCACTCCAACTGCTTTTGAATTCTTTGACCTCATTGTTTTTCCTACTCTTAGGCAGCTAATGAGACATTAGCAGGCTTGGAGGTCATTAAAGATGGACCCCTTGGAAAGTATAACTTTTTCTTTTCCTTCTCTCCCCAGACAACGACATTCTCACTGCCTCTCTCTCTGAAGTCCTCTCCCCTACATTCAGCCACTCTCAGACCTCCACTGCTAAGCCAGCCTACTTTCTTGACCTCTAACTCAGAAAGTGCGATTTCCTTTCTTGCTCTTATCCAGTTCCCTCCTCCTGGAGCCACTGAGGTCTCCAGCTTTCCTGCCCTGTTATGTTTTCTTTCAAACCCCAATAAAGTTACCCTTGAGTTTCATTCTGATTCAGAGATTGAATTCTTTTGTCTACAAGACTCAGGACCTGCCTAAGAGGAGCACTATCACCTCTGTCCTCAGACTTTTAAGATGCTCTAAATCCCAGATATGAATGTTCCAGGAGGTCCAGGTCTAAACGTCACTCTAGTTATTCTTTGGAAAAAACTAACTGAAATAAGGTGAAATGGGAGAAGTGTGCCTGAAAGGAGTGAAATCTTTAAATCATAGGAGAAAAATGGACAGAAATCACAACTCCTCCCATTCTTCTATTCTTCTCTAAGGATAAAATGCAGGTCCCTAAGCACACCCACATTGCCATGTCTCATTTCTTTGAGTCTGAGATAATGGACATTTCAAGAAGCAGATTTTTTAATATTAAAGATGCATATTTAGCAAGCGAAGGAAGAACAAAAATGAGACCTATATGACTTTACCTTTACTGCAATTTTCAGTGAGACATCTCTAATGGTATTCAAAGGAGGATAAAGCCGGCCCTCCTCTAGGTGTTTATCCGACACTTCCTGAGATATGACCTTAAAAAAGGAAAAAGAATAAAAATGTTTAGTTTATACTAACATACTAACATGATCCAATGCAGTGGTTATACAGATAATCAAGAGAGTGGCCATGTACATACACTAATTACATGAAAGTGACTGTGGAACATCATGTCTGCCTATCAATGGAGAAGCTGAGCCATTGTGATTGTTGGGATCACACCTCAAGAGAAAGAGATAAGAAGAGAATCCACATTTCCTTTTACTCAGTCCTTTACACTGAACCATGAAATACTGAATATTTTCTAACGGATGCACTGGGGCCTGTGCAGGGGAAACACAAGGAAACTGAAGAAGTAATGGAACAGGACCCTGAAAGCAGAGTGGGGCAGTCAGTGCCGTTACTCACTGCTTAGTATTCTCACACAGGGGGTAGAACATGAGGCTGAGGAAGCCTGTTCACTCACACTCTTAGTAGAATTTCAATTTTACAGACTTTCTTCCCTCGCCTCAGCATTTGCTGTCCCTAAACCATTCCCTAGTTACAGACAGAGAGCTGCTCAAAGACTTGGACTAAGTTGCTACTCAGGATGGGTTTTAATACACATATAGCTGGGTCCTTAAGAGAGATTCAGAAAGGAGGTAGGAAACCTTCACTTGCAACATTTTGAGCAGTCAAGCATTCATTTTTCACAATTTTTTTCAGTGCTGGGATTGAATCCACAGCTTTGTGCACACTAGGCACTCTACTACCACTGAGACATTCTCAGCTCTATTTGTCAGTATCTTAAATACTTTTTAAATTGTGTTTATTTATTTTTAAATTTATTTATTTTTATTTTATGTGTATGAGTGTATTGCCTGCATGTAGGTAAGTGCACCCATCTTGTGCAATGCCCATGGAGGTCAGAAGAGGCTGTCAGATCCCCTGGGACTGGAGTTACGGACAGTTGTTAGCTGCCATGTGGGCGCTGGGATTCGAATCCGGGTCTTCTGCAAGAACAACCAGTGTTCTTAATTGCTGAACCATCTCTCCAGACCCGTATTTATTTATTTTAAACGGATTTATTGATTGATTGAGACAGGACCTCATTATGTAGCCATGGTTGGCCTGGTACTATTGATGTAGATCAGACTGGCCTCAAAAATCACAGAGATCCACTTGCCTCCAATGGGATTAAAGGTGTGGGTGCCAATACACTTGGCTTTAGATATTTTTAAAATCATGCAATTATTTGTTTTGGGCTGGAGGGATGGTTCAGCAGTTAAGAGCACTGGCTGCTCTTCCAGAGGAACTGGGTTTGATTCCTAGCACCCACATGGCAGCTAACAACCGTCTGTAACTTCAATTCCAGGAGAATTCAGTGACCTTTTCTGATCCCCGTGGACTTTGCACAACCTGGGTGCACTTACTTATATGCAGGCAATACACTCATATACATAAAATAATAAATAAAATATTTAAAAAGGATCTGTTTTGATGCCATCAGAAAAGCAGTAAGAACATGAGCAGACATTGTACTAACATAAGTTTATGAACCAGCTAAGATTTCTAGTTCAGTAAGGTTGTATAGAAAGAAACAAGAATACTGAAAGCAAGTGGCCTAGGCTACAGTACAAATATGAGTGCTAAGCAAGCCAGAGTTGAGGGCTAACAGAAAACCAGGCATGAGGCAGGCTTTGACTGTAGGACTAGAAGTAACTAGGAGTCAGACACAGGCAAGGGACTCCAGACAGAACACTGGGAGACCTCAGATACATGAACTGAACTCTGATGGTCAACATCCTACCCAAGGAGTGGTGAACCCCTGAAGAGAAATAAAGAATGGAATATTGTCAGCGCCAAACAAGAAGCTTGGCATTGTGGATGACTGAGAACTTCTAAGCAGTGACATCTAGGAAGAGACAGCACAGGGAGAGGCAAACAACATAACTACTGTTTGATCAGTGTGACTTTATTACATAAAAATTATAATCTATGCTTAGAGAATAAACTCTTCACTCCATTCATTTCTTGCCTTTGTAACATGGTTTTAAATAGAAGTTTTTCTTTGCCCCAAAGCTGGTGATCAGGGACTCAAACTTTAGACAACACAAACATTAACAGTCCTACCACCCAAATGGGCCTGCTATTTCCCACAGAACCAAGCAGGAGCAGAACCAACCCTGTTACCCCAGTGACAGCCACCTCTGCCCAGAGCAGGGAGAGCTCAGGGGTTGTGTGCTTTTTTTCACTTAAGGACTTAATGACCAGTGAGGAATGTCAGGAAAATTCCCAATCTTCAGATGAGATAAAAATCAAAACTACTGAGAACACTGATCTCTCCCAAGTGAGAAGAGACAATGGCATAGTGCCACTTGTAATCCTTGCACCTGGGAGGCAGAAGAAGGAGGATCTCTGAATTGGAGGCCAGCTGGGAACTAGCCAGTTCCAAGCCAGTCTGGGCTAGTAAGACCCTGTCTCAAAAAAAAGTCATTAATTCTAGTGAACATCTGACACATTATATAAAAAGTAGAACCTTCACGTTCTGACTTATACACAGTGACACAACTTTGTGTTGTGTCTACTCTCACCATTTACATTTACTTCCAAAATAAGCCTTAGGTAGCAATAACTCGCCCTCTGTTCTAATGATATTTCAAGTCTTTGAAGAGAACAAAAGGCTCTTGTCCAAATACCAGTCAAATGTATGTTAGTACAAACTCTACCAACGAACCTCTTTTGTTCTTCGTGAAACAGTGAAGTTTTGCTACAGATTACATAAGCCAGAGATACTGAGTAACTTGAGTTGCACTGTTCCTCATCATGAGGAGTCCAAAAGACTACTCCCAATGCTAAAAAAGCTAAAAATCTCTTCATAATGAAAAAACCCCAGGAACAGGCTGTAAAGATGGTTCTGCTGGTAGAATGCTTGCTGCACAGCCATGGGCACCTGAGCTCAGATCCCAGGCACCTATGAAGAAGCCAGGTACAGTGGCACATGTCTGTAATCCTAGAGCTCAAAGACAGGGACAGGACACACACACACACACACACACCACACCATACCACACCACACCACACACACACTCATATATTACACACACATACTATACATACACATATATACTATACACATATACCACACATCTCTCTCTCTTTCTTTCTCTCTCTCTCTCTCTCTCTCTCTCTCTCTCTCTCTCTCTCTCTCACACACACACACACACACACACATACACACACACACAATAAATGTAAAAATCCAGAAATAATCTTTCAGATTGGTGCTAGTTCATGAGATTTTTGGTTTTCTATGAGATCAAACTAGCATTTTTTAAATATAACTGTAAAAATGATTAAATCTAAGGTTGTCAAAACAATTCACCCAGATCTCTTAACTGCTACATTGGCTAACTATAACATATCCTCTAGACAAGGACTTCCTTCTTCTTTGGGCCCTCTGGCCAAGTATCCACAGTATTGTGCTTACTCTTCTTGCTAAACTGTGTGGCTAGCACTACTTAATTCAACTCAACAAAAATTTCCTGCTTCTGTTTTGTGTTAGTATGGTGCTTGTTGTTACTAGAGATCTGAAGAAGTACCTGGAAGGATGTCTTTAATGAAAGTAATCTATTTAGTTACAGAGGCAGTGATCTTTTTAAAAATCTGAATCTCCCAAGAACACGAAACAAGAATAAAACTAAATGCCAATGTTTAATAAGAACAGCCTTGGACTGGGGAGATGGCTCAGTTGATAAAGTGCTTGCTGTACAAGCATGATAACCTAAGTTCCTTCTCCATCATGGGGGGTAAGTGCTGTGCAGCAACCACTTATAATCCCAGAGCTGAGGAGGCCTAGAGGCAGGTAGATAGATTCCTGGGTCAGCCAGCCTAGCCAAATCACCAAATCAGAAAGAAAGCTCCAGGTTTAGTGAAAGGCCCTTTCTCAAAAAATGAGATAGAAAGCAATTGAGCAAAACATTCTAAGTTCACCTCTGGTCTCTCTATGTGCATACACACACATACACACACACACACACACACACACACACACACTACAGGCTTGGCAAAAGAGAATATAAAAATGAACCAGACTTGGCATGTAAAACTCAAGGATGAGGTTAGAATTAAGCAGCATCTATTAGGACAAACTTAGCCAGGAGAGATGGATAACCATGGCTTTCTAGGAAAGTAAGAAATAAAGACTTGCACAGCTATATTCATACATAGTAGGTTTATAGGCTGGGGGATTAGGGAAAAAAATAAAGATGCCAGGCTTCATGTTGGGTGTGGTGCACACATTTGTAATTCTAGCACATGGGAGGTAAAGGCAAGAGGATCAGGAGTTCAAAGCCAGCCTCAGCTTCATAGTGAATTTGAGGCCAGATTGGGCTACATGAGACCTTGTCTCAAAAAAGAATGTTAAGCTTGTAAGTTTTGGTGACTGCTTAGATGGGCAGCAAATAGTGACACAGGACATCACTATTAGAAATGTAAATGTTAGCTGGGTGTGGTGGCATATGCCTTTAATCCCAGCACTCCAGAGACAGAGGCAGGTGGATCTCTGTGAGTTCAAGGCCAGCCTGGTCTACATAGTGAGTTCCAGGCATTTCTGGGAGTTTTGATAAAATATGAGAATAGAAATAACCAGATTTGGTGACTTCAGACTGAAGAGAATGGAAAGAAATCAAAGTCTTTGAAAGCATATGAAAAGGTCAGAAAGAGTGGGGACAAAAAATGCTATTTAAATAAAGGTCTTAGGCTGGGGAGATGACTTGGTAGTAAAAGCACTTGCTGTGCATGCCTGACAACCTGAATTCAGATCCCTAGAACCCACATAGAATGCCAAACGAAGAGGCAGGCACCTATAATCACAGCTCTCCTGCAGCAGGTTGGAAGGTGGAGACAGAGACTCTCCTGAAGCTCACAGCAGCAGAGACAAGAGAGAACCTGCCTCAAAAAAAAAAAAAAAAAAGGCAGGAGGCAGCAACGGGCTCCAAAAGCTGTTCTCTGACCTCCACATGTGTGCCATGGCATCACGTGTACCCCCTGACTCCACCTCCTACAAGGTCTTAGAGATATAAAAAAACAGAGCAAGTAGGGGATGACTGGGGTCTGAGGGAAGAAGGAATGTACTGAACATGAGGGAGCACCGGTGTGAAGGCTGAAAGATGCAGCAGAGAGAAAACTAGCTGTGAGGAGAGCACTGCTGTGCACAACACCGACGCTTTCCCTTTGGTGGTGGGGTTTTTGAAACAGGGTTTGATTGCACAGCATAAGCTGACCTGGAACTTTCTATGTAGCTCAGAATGGTCTGGAACTCACACTCTTACTGTCCTGTCCTTTCTATGTAGCTCAGAAAGGTCTGGAACTCACACTCTTACTGTCCTGTCCTTTCTATGTAGCTCAGAATGGTCTGGAACTCACACTCTTACTGTCCTGTCCTTTCTATGTAGCTCAGAATGGTCTGGAACTCACACTCTTACTGTCCTGTCCTTTCTATGTAGCTCAGAATGGTCTGGAACTCACACTCTTACTGTCCTGTCCTCCTGAGTGCCAGGAGTACAGACATTAGCCACCATGCTTGGCTTACTTTTTATTTTCTTCAGAGTTTTTTGGTAGTGATCATTACTCTTAGTGAGATGAGAAATAAAAAATATTTACATAACATCTGTCACTAGAGGGTGCTAGAGTTACTTATCGAAAAAAGCAATGACTAAGGAGCATTAAACTTATTTTTCTGATATGTTTATCCTAAAAGAAAATGGTTATGTTTCTCTTAATGTAAATGTAAAACTAACTTTAAAATGCTCCTGGTAATTAGATATCTGCTTACATTTAACAAGATTTTTGAGTTAAAAAAACAAAACAAAACAAAACAAAAAAAAACATGAGACATCAGCTGTCGCACAGCAAGGAAAATGCCTGAAGAACACTATAGTTTTGGGGAGCTGTTCCTTACAGAGGGAGCCTGGCACTAAGCACTGCTGTGCTCTTAGCTCACACCAGAGACTCTGGAATCTGTGTATGTTCTTGGAAATTCCTCTTCACAATGTAAAGAACAATATATTTATAGGATAAATGCTTCAATTTAAATTAATCAGGCTTTATTTGGTTCAGTTCAGCTATAATGTTATACAGAGGATTAATTTTTAAGAGAAGAAATTCACAAGTTTCTTATGAATTATATCCTGTTCCGATCTGAAACATGGTTATCAACAGGATACACATTCTGATTTGAGAACTTCATGACTACAAATATATGCCCAACTACTCTTATCATATAGCTGTGACTCAGAGCACAGAGGGAGCTGACAACAACATTAAGCTCATAGGCTCTTTTGTACCATGAATAAATAATAAGTCCTTTATCTCTGAGCTAAGAACTTCATGACTTCTGCCAGTATCTATGAAACCATGGCTCACTTGTAAGTTTGCCAGTTGGGTAAAAACAGTTCTTGACTGTACAAGATTCCCCAGTATGTTATGTAATGTCCTGAGGGCCTTTCCTGATACTCCAGTCTGGAACCTAATTTTCCTGTACTTCAATGATCTATCTAAAATATCATTTTATTACATTTTTTTAAAAAAATATGGAACTCTTCATGAATTTGTGTGTCATTACATTTTTATATATTTATTTGGCATACATATGGAGGTCAGAGGACAATTTGTGGCAGTCGGTTATCTCCTTATGGGGCCAAGGGATTGAATTGAGGTCATCAGGATTGGCAGCAAGCACCTTTATCTGCTGAGTATCTTATTGTCTCCTTTAGTGACCTATTTTTCTTTTTTTAATTCAGCTTTTACAATTTCATACATTTCCCACTCAAATCCAAACCCCCTCCCCAATCCATGCCTCCCCCTATTCCCCCACCAAACCCTGTGCACTCTGCCATACATGCTTAGTCCTAGTCATTCAGGTGTTTGTACCCATATGTCCTTCAGTGTAAATGCATCCACTGGAGTCTAGTCAGCCCATCCAGTGGTCGTATGTAAGTCATACTCTCCCTCACCCAGCAATAACCAGTCTCAAATAGTTCTCGATCTAGTGCTGACCCAACACCTATTTCTCACCTCCCCTTTGGGCCCTTGTTTAATTGAGCTGACATGGGTCCTGCATTGGATGCTACCACTGCTACAGGCTCACATGAGCAAGTCTACAATGGCCTGGAAGGCTCCACCTCATCTGTTCATGAACCAGCCCTGGCTCTTACAATCTTTCTGCTTCCTCTTCTGCAATGGTCCCTGAGCTGTGGGTGGATGAGGTTCCATATAGGAGTCCCAGAGTTGCACATCTGGTCAGGCATAAATAACACACACCTAGGAGAGGCCCAGTACTAGGTGACACATCTGCAGTCACATTCCTACAACAAAGGCTCATGGAACACAGTGGAATAAGGGGTAGAGAGAGGGCTAATGCACCACTCAACTCTCACCAGTGAGGCTTCTATGTACATCAGAGTGCATTACACAGAGAAGGCCTCAACTGACCGAGTTTTGGAGAATAAGAGACTATAGAGTGTAGGATAGGACTCCTATATGGAACCTCACCCACTTAATGCCCTATTTTAATTTCATTTCTTCTTAAATAATAGTGTGGCTTCTATTTCCTCCTCCTCCTCCTCCTCCCCCTCCCCTTCCTCTTCCTCCTCTTCTTCTTCCTCCTCCTCCTCCTCCTCTTCTTCTTTCCTCCCCCTCCCCCCTCCTACAACAGAACTACATAACCAGCCTCCTCCCCTCCTCCTCCCCCTCCCCCTCCTCCTCCTCCTCCTCCTTGAGACAGGATCTCCCTGTAGCCTCAGCTGGCCTGGAATTTGCTGTGTAGACCAGGCTGGCCTCAAACTTACAGAGATTTGCCTGCCTCTACCTTCCAAGTACTGGGATTAAAGGCGTGCACCACCACCCCCAGCTATATCTTCTATTTTCTACACTGAAAGATTAATGATAGACATTTCTACTATACTATGTCAGACTTCAAAACTGTCATCATTTGGAAAGAATAGTTGTCTCACTAATATCATAAAATTTTATCAGTATATGAAGACATAAAAAAGCTCTCCTTTCATGAAATCAAACCTAAAAGATACTGAGCTACTCTCTTAGTAGTGATTCAATATGTATCAGCTACTCACTCCTAACTGAGAAAATGCAACCATGGCAAGCTCTAGTAGTTCACAGTACCTCGGCAGTCATGAGGAAGACCTTCTCAGTGATGTGCCTCAGTCCACAAGCCACCACCCCAAGAGCAACTCCAGGGAACACATAGGAATTATTGCCTTGGCCAGGAAAGAGGGTCCGTCCATTTGAAAGAGTAACTGGATCAAAAGGACTGCCACTGGCAAAAATTGCCCGTCCCTGCAATACAGATACACACCATAATGTGTTACAACAGAACTACCCCATAGCCAAAATAATGACAGCTCAGTACTTAACTCCCTAGTGAGTCTAGGTGAGCTTTTGTGTGGCAAAAGGTCTGAAATGGGTGATTGTTACTGTTCTCTGTTCTAACTCTTTGATCCCAGAAGTGGGCAGAACATAGACTATCACTTTGTTCTCTGCAGTACTCCAACCATAGACCCATCAACCATTTCTACACAGTCTTTTTTTAAAAACTATATTTTGCTTTTTATTTTATTTTATGTGTATGAGTGTATTCCCTGCATGTATGTAAGTGCACCCATATCATGCAATGCCTGTGCAGGTCAGAAGAGGGTGTCGGATCCCCTGGAACTGGAGTTACAAAGTTATTAGGCACCATGTAGGTGCTGGGAATCAAACCTGGGTAAGAGCAGCCAGTGCTCATAACATCTAAGCCATCTCTGCAGCTTATTTTATTCCAACTTTTTATTCTAACGTTAATAGTCTCACTAATTTTTTTCTGGTGCATTCATAAGTGGACTCTTTTTAAATTTTCAATTAATATTATTAAACTACATTTATATACAGAATGGAGCCATTTTAAGTATTGCATGTATGTAAGTGCATCCATGTCCTGCAATGGCCACAGAAGTCAGAAGAGGGTGTCAGACCCCCTGGAACTGGAGTTATGGAAGGTTATTAGCCACCATGTGGGTGCTAGGAACTGAAACCAGGTCCTCTGGAAGAACAGCAAATGTTCTTAACCACTGAGCCATCTCTTAGCCCCTCCACATAGGCTTTTAATTGCAGACTTCTGATGACTAAAAGAAAAAAACAAGTTCCTACAGTATCACAAATAGGTTTTAGGTTAGTACTTAATTTTCAGCTCAAGATAACTTTCAGTGTTTTATAATATAAAGTATTAGGAATGATCATAAGAAAGACTGAGCTCATTTATTTCTGAAACTTCAATTTTTAAAATACAACTATATAAATTTAACTCACTTTATGTATGTGTATTACAGGAGCCTCTAAACTGCTGAGGACTGCTGAGATACACTAAGACAATGTAATTAATTATACACTTGATTATGTGTCTTCTATATGCAAAGTACTGCACTAAAATTTTGTTGCTGCTTAAAAGGTGTTTTCACTCTTAAGGATTTAAAGCTAGTGAAGAATGTGAGGGGAACTCCATCTATAGATGAGATAAAAAATTAAAATTACTGAGAACATTGATGCTATCCCAAATAAGAGAAAGAAACAATGGAGTGGCTCCTTGTAAAATAGAAAAATCATTAATTCTAGTAGTAAGCATTAAAAACACAGTATTTAAAAAGTAGAGCCTTCAAGTTCTGATTTGTGCACAGTGCCACAATTTTGTGTTGTGTTTACCCTCTCTGCTATATTTTACATTTATTTACAAAATTAAAGTTTTGGATAGGTATGACTAAACTTCATTTTTGTTATAATGATATTTTCAAGTATGTGAATGGAACAAAAGGCTCTTGCCAACATATCAGCTAAATATATATTAGTACAAACACAGTATAAAATTAAATCTATTTTTGAAACAGAGAACTATTGGAAAGCTAAGGACTTCTAGCCAGCCTGGCTGGGTATCAGCATAGCTGCCCAGATCTCCACCCATGGCATCAAAATTCAAACCCAAAATTTAGCAAAGCAAAAACTAAACTGTGGTTTCATTTTGTATGCTTCAGTATTTGGAACAGCTAGTTAAAAGATATTTTAATAACCATCCAAAGCTAAGCTTTTCCCCTTTCATTTAATTTTTATATTTAAATCTTACTTTCCAAATCACTCAAAGAATATTACCACTAAACCCTTACAAAGTTTATTTATTCTACTGAAGAAGAGAGATTCGACACTGAGAAAAAGGAAGTGGCTATTCCTTTGGTCTGGTCATTTATCTTTCAGTCTTGATGGAATAAGTCTGATTTTAGGGGTATGTGATAAACACCTAGGCTTCCTATAATTAATCGAAATGTGGCTGCTCACCTCGGTCATTTTATAGCACTGCTCTGCAGAACACTCTGCTTTGCTAGTGGGATTACTCAAAGCAAAAATAATGGGCCGTTCATTGAAGGCAGCCATGTCTTTGAGAATTTGTTCTGTGAAGGCACCACCAATTGCAGCAACTCCTAGGAAGAAAGCAAACCAGGGATTAGGACTGTCATTGGTTATGTCATCCAAGAGGCTCGGGTCCCCAAAACAGTGAGCCACTACAGGTTATTTCTAACAGACCCTAAACAAAATATAGAATGTTTATACTAAAGAATGTATTAAACAGTGTTGATTAATGCCAATAATTTTTAGAATTACAAATCAACAAGTACCTTTAAAAATTATAGATGTAACATCTGACTCAATGAGTTGTTGGCTAATCATTTGGAATTTTGATTACAGGCATTTGTATTAGGAAATTAAACAGTATCTAACACATTCTCTATAATTAATTCTCAACACATTGTGATAATCTTTTAGGCTTTTTTGAGACAGGTTCTCCCTGTAGCCCCACCTGGCCTTGAATTTGCTATGTAGACCAGGCTAGCCTCAATCTCACAGAGATCAGTCCTGCCTCTGCTTCCCAAGTGCTGGGATTAAAGGTATGTGGCACCATGCCCAGATCAGTAATTATGTTTTTATAAGCCAAAATTAATATTTAAGATAATCATTTAGTTCAGTTACAAAATTGAAATAACCACTCACTGAAAGTAGAATAAAAAAGCTAGCAAAATGGAAATGAAAAGTAATGATTACCGAAAGAAAACACTGTATAAAACAACACTAAACACTTAGCAAAGATCCTATCATGGAGTAAGCAATTGTTTTTATTGTGATTATGGTCATTATCTCAATATTATCAACTATTCCAAAGAACTTCTAGAAATAGACTATGATAAAAAGCAGACAAGACATACACACAAGACATGAGAAATAAAATTTATATAACTTCCTTTGAGATTTTTAAACACATATGAACATATTAAGCAACTTTTAAAAACTTTTTATAAGGCAGGGTCTCATGTTGCTCAGTTTGAGCTCCTATCCTGATCCTCCTGTCTCTACCTCCCAAGTGCAGGGATGGGAAGGCAGGTGTGCACCACCATGTCCGGCTGCACATTAAGTATCTGACTATGCACGTAAAATGTGTAAGTACCAGATGAAATAGGAAAAATAAAAAGATATGTGAGACACAATCCCTATCTTCTAGGAAGTTCTAGTTCAATGCTTCTGAGTCTCAGCATGACTGACATGTTGTGAGGATAATTCCTTATTTCAGGGTTGCCCTGTGCACTGTAGGATGATTTATCAACATCACTGACCTCTACCCATAAGATGTCAGTTGGCTTTTCCTTACTCTATACCTCAGTAATCCCTTCCCATTTATGATGACAATGATTGAAAACAAACATCTCCAGGCATTGCTAAATGTTCCAGAAGGTAGGTTTCCAGCCCATTTGAGAAAAGCTGTCTATGTGGAGCTATCAAGCTGGAGACCTAATGTGGCAGATGTGAGCAGGCTGGCACAACACAGAGGGTCACACTTCAGCTCAGATTAGGAATACTAAGAAGTCAGAACTGAATTCAAATCCAAGTGCCAATGGGAGCCTTGCTGATAGAGTGAATTAAGTTTGTTTCTGAATTGCAAAGTTTAGAATTTCAAAAATGCTAAATAATACCAAACAGGTCAAAATAAAGGAAAAGAGAGAGGAAAAAAAGTTTACCTATGAGGGCAGTTGGTTTTAGTTTTTGAACAATGGCTTCTAGGTTCTTCATTTCTTCATGTTCATGGGCAAATACCTCCTTCTCTTCTGTTAGAGCAGCACGTCTCTAAGTAAACAAATGAGAAATGAAAACATTCCAAACATGTGGGTCAAAGACATTTCAAAATATATGTATTACTAGCAGTTACACTTAACACTTTTGCATTCTTTGTATGACATCTATTCTTAAAGCCACTTCTCTAGTTGTCAGTGTGTTATTTCATTCTTTCAACAAATATTTATGTGGCCCAATGTTCTAGGCAATGGTGAGCCCAACAAAGACTTTCCTTCAATTCATTATTTAATACTAAAAAATCCCAATTCTACACAAATCCATGACAAACCAACACTATCAAATGGTAATATACAATACTGATTAAATGATAACCCTGCACTTTATATATTGTTTCTATTTCAGTATCTCCTAAGTCTCAGCTGCAGCACTATTTTGTTTATAAAGCACCAAGGATGTGACATGTGTTAGAAGCATCTTATAGTAATTAGCAATACTTTTAAAGATTTGCTTACATAATAAACAGTTACCTAACTTGATGACTTTTATGGTGTTTTTGCTTTATTGCCATTTGTCTCATCAAGAGCTTTAAGAAGTAGGTCAAGTATAATCACTGTTATTTTGAATATAAGGAAACAGGTTCAGAGATTTTAAGCAACTTGCTCAAGGCAAGTGTTACCTGGAACTCAAAGTCTTTCTACTATACCACATAACTGCCCTGGAGGAAAAGCTTTTCAAATAGTATTATGTCAGACAGAGTGCAAATTGTCATTCCTGAAGATGGTACATCTCCTTGCTTTAAAGGGTTATCATTTCATTTTTTAAAAATCTCTCTATATATGCCTATACTGTATGTGTGCGTGCGTGCGTGCACGTGTGTGTCTGTGTCTGTGTCTGTATATGTATATGAATGAAGCCACACACGTGTCATGGCATGAATGTGGAAGTCAGGGGACAACCCTGAGTGTGGGTCCTGACCTTCTATCTTGTTTGAAACTGTATCTCTCTTGCTCGCCACTGCATACTCCATATACCAGGCTAGCTGAGCTGCTAGCTTCTAGGAATCTCCTGTTTTTACCCATCTCACCTGATCACTGGGGTTACAGACATGTACTTTACCTGGAGGATTTGAACTCAGGTCCTCACACTTGTCTGCCAACTACTTTACCTACTGAGCCATCTCTGCAGCCCCATTTCATTATTTTTTTAAAAAAGCAATACTTAGAATTCTAAAAGATCTAAATTATATGGATCGCGCCATGCTTGTTTCCTCCTCCATAAATAAGTATAATTGGAATATATCCTGCACCAGTCACTGTGGGTTAGAAGAAGTGATATGTGGGAAGCACTTAGACCATGCCCAGGTCATCATGAGTGCTGATAAAAATTATTGTGAAGAAGAAAAAAACATGATTTCAACTCTTCATAATTCTGCTACATTTTCTTTTATCTGTTACAAATTGCTACTTGTGTACCATTGCTTCCATTATAAGTATGACATTAAACTGGATGGCTTTCTAAAAAGGAACCATAAGTCACCTCTGTGTTCTAAGAGGATATTTTTCTACCTTTCTTCTCCATGTATCAGCACACACTATATCTGAAGCACTGTGAAAAAGAATCATCTATATCCATTTACAAGCAAATTTGAAGCTTCCCATTTTATAGTCACTTCAGCAGAGGACACGAGGAATGTTAAATTGGATATTTCTAATCTATCTCTTATTCACCATGTTTATTTGAAAAATTATAATTTCTACTTTAATCAGGAAATACTAAATTATTTAATAAAATTCATATATTGCCACTACATTTTAAAATTAATCATAGAATCAAAGGAACAAATAGTTGATACAAACTTTGCAGGAAGAGTCTTGAAGATTGAAACCAGGGCCTCACACATGCAAGGAAATGGTTTACCTGTTAAAAAGCTTAACTGTCGGCAGGTGTGGTTGCACACGCCTTTAACCCCTGCACTTAGGCTTTGAGACAGGGTCTCAAACAGACCAAAAAAAAAAAAAATTTTTTTTTTAACTGTTACCAGACTTGGTGGTGCATGTCTTTAATTCCAGCAGAGGCAGGTAGATCTCTGTGAGTTCAAGGCCAGCCTGGTTTACATAGTGAGTTCCAGGTCAAATGGGGCTACAGGGAGACTCTGTCTCAAAATGACAAAAGAAAAATTTTAACTGTCGAATGACTCCAAATTTTTATTTTATTCAAAAAACCTGCCCTTTCCTTTCTACTAATTCAAGATGATTTTTTTTATGCCATTGGGCTAGGTTTCCAGTCCATAAAATAATTTTAAACTGATTTATATTAAGTACACACAAAACTAGTTTCAAACATTTATTTTGTGTTTACAAAATTTTAATTGCTTTTTCATAACATTTTTAAACTACAACAATATTAAAAATTTTACAATTTTCATAAAATTTTGGGGTAAGGCAGGTCATTCCATCTGGTGCTCCCACCCTACATCTCATAGTGTCACAGCTGGGAAATTGGTTTCATTTACATACTCAGGCAAAGAGATTAAGCACCATGCTAGCACATACAAAATGAGTAAGCCTAGTGAAAATAGGCATTGGGCATATTGAAGAATTCCTCTCAAATATTTTGACAATTAAGTATAAGACTGAGTTAAAGAAAGTAGTAATTCCAACTGAACCAGTTCCCTACCATCCCTTTCCTATGGCACTGCTCTCTGCTATGTGGCTCTGCAGGTCCTTCCACAAAAAGCAGGATGGATGCTCTTTGACTTACCAGGACGTTATAGCCCAGTGAACCCATCCCCATATGAGGGTATTCTAAGTTGAAAAATGCACTTCATATGCCTAACTGTGGAACAGCATAGCTTAACCTGGTCTACCTTAAATTTGCTCAGAATATTCTAGCACAAAGGCCATTTTATAATAAATGTAATATCAAATACTGTATTAAAGGTGAAAAACAGAAGGGTTGTCTGGATACCATTCTGCATCATTATAAAGTTGAAAAACTCCTAAGTGGAGTCAGAAAACTGGGGATGTCTGTCATCTCAGTCTACAGCCAGTTACTATGATAAAACAGTAAGTAAAAGCAATTTGAGGAGGAAATAGTTTATTTGACTTACTCTTCCCAATCAGTCTGTCACCTGAGGGAGGAACTCAAGTAAGAGCAGAGGCCAGAGGCAGAACCATGGAGGGGCTGCCTACTGGTTTGCTCTCAGCATTATCTTCCAACTTTCCATAAAATCTCACTAAGCTCTGAGCACTCAATGGCTTCTAGCCCAAAGCTTCAAAATCTTCTACAATCTCCCCCAAACAACATGTTCAGGTCCATTACAGTAGTATCCCATGTTTCTAGTACCAATTTATGTCCTGGCTTGCTCAGTTACTTTTCTTATACAGTCCAAGTCCACCTGCTTAGGAATGGCACCACCCACAGTGGGCTGGGCCATCCTATATCAATTAGTAATCAAGAAGATGCCTCACAGACATGGCCACACAAACAAACTTGATACACAGTCACCTGGTAAGAGGGACGCTCAACTGGGGAATTTCTTTCATCAGACTGGCCAGTGGCCATGTCTGTCAGGTATTTTCTTGGTTGCTAATTGATCGGCAGGCCCACCCCATTGTGAGTAGTGCCATCCCTAGGTAAGTTGGCCTGGACTAAAAACTGAGCAAGCCAGGGGAAGCAAGCTAGTAAGGAGTGTTTCCTGTCCTGACTTCCCTTGATGATGGGACTGTGTCTCCAAGTGTAAGCCAGAAAAACCCTGTCCTCCTTCAAGTTGCTTTTGTTCAGGGTGTTTTATCACAGCATCAGAAATCAAACTAGAACATCTATCTTTTCCTTGCCTTTGTATCTTGGACTGGAACATATGGCTTGCCCTAAAATGTGAGCAGAATGAGTGTGCCAGTCCAGCCTAGGTCTGAAGAATACCTGGTGTTTCTGCCCGCTCTCTTTTGTCATAGCTTACAGGCTGGGCCCCCGTGAGAGCAGTGCAAGGCAGAGGATGACCCAACCTGCAGCTTACAGCCACACAGCCAACATCATCAGCACTGTCTTTTGACTCAGAGGTGAATGAAAAATACTGTTGTATGTCACTGAGATTTTGTGGTTACTAATAACATAGCACTAGGCAACAGAACATGGAATGGCTTTAATACGGACAATAGTAGATGTTGCCACTTTTAAAATAAATGTTACTTCTAATGAGTTCAGGAGTTGAGGGTTCCTCTCCATGAAATGATTTAACAAAATGAATGCTTTTGCAATCTCTCAGCCTGCTCAATTCCCTTATTCCTGTCTTTGTTACTTGGCAAAAAAAATCATCTTGCATTATTAGAAAGAGAAAAGCAAGTCTGTTCAAAATTTGGAATCATTTGATGGTTACATTTTTAATATCTAAACCATTTCTGAACTATTTCTGAAGTAGTATATGCTAAAATTTATGGTTATTTTGTGCATAGTCAGACTTTTAGTAGAGATACCAAATAAAATCCTGGCTTGGTGAGGCATATTCCCTGGGAATAATAACTCTCAGCTGCAAGTATTCTAAACAAAACATGATACAATTTTGGCTTATTACTCATCACCAGAAATGCATTACTTTGTTACAGTTGTAAAAGCAAGAAACCAGACTACCCATCTGAGGCCCTAAGACATATACTACAGAACTCCAAATTGCATGTAGTGTGACTTCCTCTATGCTGGAGGCAAAAAGCCTCAGCCAAATGGATTATTTTCTTCAGTTTTCCTTGTCTGTCCAGAGTTCCTGTGTTAAACACAGCATTCACTAAGCTGACACCCCTCACAGCACACTGAAAGAAGAATGGGGATAATGAAGTAGCAGTAACAGGCTTTTCTAGAAGGTTGTGGTTGTGGTGCTTTGGGTTTTCTTAGGTGGACACAGCAGTCTTCAGAGCCTAAGAGACCAGCAACAGATGGGTGCTAAGTAACAGAGGCAGCAACCACCATGTCTGCCAGTTAGCTTCCCTGTTTGTGGCCGAGACTTGGCCAGCAGCAGTGGGACAGTGGCCCCCTTGCTCAAACTGTTCCCAAAGCTCGAT